CGAGGGAAGCCAGCAGCAATGGGAAGGTGTGGAGAACAAAGAAGGGAAGAAAGGGAAACACACAGAGCTGCAGCTCGACAGGGGGAAGAGAGGGACAGAAAGTGAGAGAAAAGCGGTAGCTGTAACAGGTTCTTGACGGGTTTCCTCTTGCCATGCCCGCGCGTCTCTATTCAAAGAAAAGAAAAAGAAAAAAAAAAGGAGAGACCGCCACGATTATCACAAAAACAAGGCTCAAATTGCAATGGTCTTTGCGCACATGCATCTGCTGACTCCGCCTCGTGGACGTTTGGACGCGACTGTCACAAGCAGAGAGTGTGAGCACACAGGCGGCAGCCGTGGAAGACGCAAACCAGCACCTACATCCATCCTCGCCTCAGTCTGACACAGCAAACAAACCGACAGCAAACAACATGCGGTGAGTAAAGGGGGTGCTGCAACAACACGCCAAGGCGTGATTGTTTGTATTTTGGAACGGCAGAATAAACGACCCCGTCGCCCTCCTTCAGCAATGCCGTGGAATTGCGTTCATGCAAGATGTCCGGATCAGCGCCGCACGAAGCAGCAATACTCTCCACTGTCTTTTTTTTCCTCGCATTTTGTGACGTCAGCGGTGCGCGCCGTGTTTTCCCCCGCTTTCCTTCTTCAAAGGAGAAGACGGCACCCACGGCCCCTTGCACACGTCTCCCCCTCCCGTTTGTGTCGCCAGCATTTCCCTCGCCTTTGTCGCGTGCGGCGGCGCTGCCCGGTGGGGGGATCCCGGTGCTCGGGCCGGCCGGCGGCTTCGTGAAGCTTCGGCGAGGGGGGAGGAGAAGGCGCGGAGAGAAGGCGAAACGCTGGAGGAGACGCGGCACGACCCGCAAGCCGGCAACAACAACAACAACAACAAAAAACGGAAGGAAGGGGAGAGAGAAGAGAAGAAGCAGAAAAAGAACAACGGCACGCAGGGGCCCCCGCCACGGCACCGACGCTTCCCCCCGCTCCTCCGAAGCCACGCCGCAATCAGCCACCAACACGCAAAGGAAAAAAGCAAGAAATCGCAATGCTAAAAAGAAAAAAACAAAACAAGAAGGCAGACACACGTCCATAAAAAAAGCGGCGGCCATTGCCGTCGGTGCTCCCCGCACTCGAATCGTCTACGCAATTTTGAGCGCGCCAACGGTGGCTGCAATGGCGGCGGCCGCACCGTTGGAACCAGCCTGCTCAATCTCCTCCGAAGCGCCGTCGTGCACCTGAATATACTTTAGAATTGTACGCTTACTGCTGTCCTCCAACTCACCGCCCAGTATCACCTCGTCCAGCACAAAATAGGCTCGATGGAAGTTGAAGATGAGATCGAGCTCGCAGACATTGCCAAAGTAGCGGTCCAATACCTCCACAAAATGGTGGATGACTTCCAGCACGATCAGCTCGTTGTCGTCTTTATCGATGGAAGCAACAAAATAAAGGGAGGCATAACGACGACAAATGTACTTGCTGCCCCTGTGCTCAACCACATTGGAAAAGCGCGCCGACCGACCCAAAGCAAGTTGACATGCCTCACGCACAAGTTTGGCCTTTTCCTTTTTGGGATATGCAACATACCACTTTGCCAGGCGCAGTTTGCCCTGGCGGCTGATCAGAAGCAGGTATTTTATCATCGACACCAGTGCCAGAATGGTCCCCACTCCTCGCTAAGTAATGCCATGCGCCTCTGCAGCTTGCCCCTACGCTCTGTTTGCTCCGTGTTCTTTCACTGCCTTTTCGCCGTCGCGCGGGGGAATCGGGACTTCTTGTCTCGGCACCGCGCGCTGCGGATAAAAAAACGAGGGAAGCCAGCAGCAATGGGAAGGTGTGGAGAACAAAGAAGGGAAGAAAGGGAAACACACAGAGCTGCAGCTCGACAGGGGGAAGAGAGGGACAGAAAGTGAGAGAAAAGCGGTAGCTGTAACAGGTTCTTGACGGGTTTCCTCTTGCCATGCCCGCGCGTCTCTATTCAAAGAAAAGAAAAAGAAAAAAAAAAGGAGAGACCGCCACGATTATCACAAAAACAAGGCTCAAATTGCAATGGTCTTTGCGCACATGCATCTGCTGACTCCGCCTCGTGGACGTTTGGACGCGACTGTCACAAGCAGAGAGTGTGAGCACACAGGCGGCAGCCGTGGAAGACGCAAACCAGCACCTACATCCATCCTCGCCTCAGTCTGACACAGCAAACAAACCGACAGCAAACAACATGCGGTGAGTAAAGGGGGTGCTGCAACAACACGCCAAGGCGTGATTGTTTGTATTTTGGAACGGCAGAATAAACGACCCCGTCGCCCTCCTTCAGCAATGCCGTGGAATTGCGTTCATGCAAGATGTCCGGATCAGCGCCGCACGAAGCAGCAATACTCTCCACTGTCTTTTTTTTCCTCGCATTTTGTGACGTCAGCGGTGCGCGCCGTGTTTTCCCCCGCTTTCCTTCTTCAAAGGAGAAGACGGCACCCACGGCCCCTTGCACACGTCTCCCCCTCCCGTTTGTGTCGCCAGCATTTCCCTCGCCTTTGTCGCGTGCGGCGGCGCTGCCCGGTGGGGGGATCCCGGTGCTCGGGCCGGCCGCGCGCCCCAGTCGCGTGTATTTCGCCCCCCCGGCGGTGCCCACAAAACTTTGTGTAAGTGTTGTTTTATTTGTTGTCGTTGATGACTGTTATTGTGGAAAGTTGTAGCTGTGGTAAAGGGGATGTTGTTTGTCTTGTTTTCCCTGCTTTAGACGTGGCGATGGGAGATGCTCTTATCTTTTGTTGTCGTAATTATTTTTGTAATTGATGTGGTATCCGGAATTGTCAGTGTTTTGTGTATCTTTACCTCCCGCTCGGTTTTTAATTTTTCTGCTGTGTTCTTGCAGAAAGCGGGTTTTTCTGGAGATGTTAATCGCATCATTTATTTATATATTTATTTATTTTTCGATTGGAATTCGTCCTTTCCGCGAAGTTTCTTACTAATTGATGCGTCTGGATATTACTGGCGTCTCTGGCTCTCGAATGCTGTGTTACTGTGTTTTTCTTAACCGACAATTAAATACCATGCTTTCGGAGCGAATGCGCCTGACTTCATCAAAGCGCATTGCTCGTGGGCAGAGATTCATCCAAGAGAGCCGCAAGGATTCTTGCCGCCTGAAAATGCTCTACCTTTTCCATGATTTCCTCCTGAAGAGGCTGAAAAAGAAAAAAACACAGTGCAAGACACAGTAACATGTGGACCTTCTACAAAAGTAAAAAATCATGCCCCACCGGCTCAAATTTTTTCCCTCAGAGAAGCGCAGCGATAAAATAAGAAGTAGTATTCTCAAGACAACAATTGTCCCCATACACCAATGTCTGGTCGGGACCATCACAACGCATGGAGCAGGGCAGCCTGGCAAAGTGTCCTTTCACAAGCAGGTTTTATTGGCTTTCCTTTTTTCCCTCCGTTTCCCTGGCAATATCAGTTTTTTTTTTTTTTTTTTGCCAGGACACAGCAAAATTCCCGCCATTACGCACAAAACCGTTTCACGCTTCTCCCTTTTCTTTTAAAAAGGATCAGCATCATCAATTAACCTGAGCCCGCCTCCCTTTTGGAATTCCATCGTTTGGCAGACTGTTTCCAAAGGATGGCTCGTAGAAGTGGTCATCCATGTACTTGAGCATGCCCCAGTTTGATGTCAACTTCAACAGTGCGTCTTCTTCACTTGGACTGCCAGTTGTGTTCGGATTATGTCCCACCTCTTGGCCTCGTTGTCGCCATACTCCTTCCACCCGTACAACGTACTCTGAGACGCGACAAAACACCATTTCCGCAAGAAGGGCGCGGCACGTGTGCTCCGCGAGGACCTGCAAATAATGGTCTCTAAAATCCCCGCCCTTCACTTCCCCTGTTTGCAGAGGACATGCCACACTGTCGGATTCCAACGCCCACCGCAACTGGCCCATAACACCGCGGCAAAACACAGCCTTCCAGTGATACGAGTACTCTCCGACAGCACTATCAGAAATAAAATCACCCCGGTGCTCCCCGGTGGTTGGCGGCACGTTGCTCTTTGTCGTTTTTGCTTCTTGTCCCTGGTCCCAAGGAAAAAGCATCCGGAAATTACACAGATCAAAGACCGTCTCACTGTTATAGGTCGACGCAATCATTTGTGTCAATGCAGAAATCTCCTTGGCATCGGCGTATGGAAACATGTTCACGAGGTTCGGGAAAAGCTCCTTAAATGTTACAAGGGATCCATGAAAGGATGACCCTCCACTGAGTGATGCTCGATCTGTGCGCAAAATACCATTTTCAATAAGATGCTGAATGCATGCATAGAGTTCCAACCGACGTTCATAGTGCTCGGCTCGATCATAGTACTTCATGAGGGCGCTAAGATTGTCTTTTCCCGCTGTTGGGGCATGCACATAGTCGACGTAAGATTCGCCTATAAGTTCCTGTGTTATATCTAGACTGGGGTAGGGTAGCTCTGGCGAGGGACGCCGAAAAAATGCACACTTCTCCACTTCCCACCACAATGTTGCTGGTGTCCACCGACGGCTGTACTGTACAAGCGCATTGTAAAACATTTCAAGGCAGATATGGTCACGCTTCCCGCGGTGTTCGTTCCACCCATTGTGTGGCTCACGACAGAGACTGCACCAGTTCTCTGTTTCATTCCACACCCATGAATAGGCCAGGCTGTTATTGCTGTTGCTGCAGCTTAAACCTGCCGTCATGAAATCACGTGCGGCAACCGTACCGCGATGGCGTTGCTGATGATTCACTGGCAATCGGGAGAGCAACAATGATGTAGTCAGCCGATGGGCCAGCCGTCGAAACGGGCAGCAAAGGGCAGCGGCACCCCTCTTTTCCCACATGTTGTCTCCGTCTTTTACCCCGTGCCAGCCGCCACCACCGGGACTGGACAGCACGGGAGAGGTTGGGCTCCCTTCCCTTCCCTTACAAGAGGCGCGGCGAACAGAAGATAGAGGAGGCAAACACCACATAACGCCCCCGGCAACAACCACAAAAACAACACCGACAACACCTTGGGCTCAGGCGCCATGGGGACAAAGAGATAAAAACAACGCAAAAGAGTCGGTGGAAATACTTTCAACAATACCGCATAAAACACAAATAAATAGATATAACAGCAGCAACAACAACAACAACAAAAAGCGGGTAAGTTTTAAATAGCACATACACATACACACATGCATACACCTGAAAATGCACACAGAAAAGGCAAAAAACCAAAAAAACAAAAAACAAACAAACAAAAAGCAAAAAAAAAAGAAAAGAAGGAATTGGGGAATAGTCCCTT